TAAGAATTTCTTGCAGTGATTAAGTCGACTGACTGCACGAAGTGCAGACAGAACCGACTTATTGCTTTCGAGTAGGTTAGGGTGTGAATGTGCGTGCGAATATAGGTTATGAAAAAAGTCACACCCACATCTACCAATATTTGTGCATCAAAGTTGAAATTCGAACTTTTAGAACAGTCCAATCTCTCTATCTCACATCCGCTGTTTCGAAAAGCACAGTTCAATTCACAACGAAAAGCGTTAGAAAACCCGAAGCATTGAATAATTATTAAAGTTGGGTTCTGATTGTCGTTTTCGGTGACGCAAGAATACGAACATAAACGTTGGTGGCATTAATTTCCACCGCATTAATGTAGCCTTATGATAGACTTCCATTCAGTTGTTCATATTGCTTCACTTCTGACGCCAAAAGTAAGTCAGAAGACAAAGATCTTGTTTCAGAAAGTCGAGAATAATCGGAACTCAGATATCAACTTTGTTACTTCTAGCTGGCAGTTTTGAAATCTTTTTCAATGCAGTACAAAACGTATATAATCTAACTTCCTTATTTAAAAACCAAATTTATCATAAATAAAGTCGTTCGTGCCAGGTCTTATCGAAGGGTTGGTGTAGATCTGTGTCTGGATGTGGGGTATGAGTGTCCGTCTCATTTTCACAACTTATTATTTCCACATCCATACCCACACCCACACCAGTAAGTCAAGTACTGAGATATGAGATCTGAAAAGATTACTTGCTGAGGCTGCTTCAGGAAAAAAACTATAGGCAAAATTTTTTTTGTATAGTTACTATGAATATACAATTTTGTACCAGCTTATAAGAAACTATTATCGTCTTTACATATAGTAATTAAAATAAGGTTATAATCTACTTTTCAAAAAGAATGTAATTATATAAACTGACAGGTTCTTTACTTTTCTATCAAGAAAGAATGGAGAAAAGATTAACTACTTGAGTCCTTGATACTTATGATTCACTATATGTTTTTTTAAAATAGTATTCTCTACTCTAAAATGAGTGTCTGATTATAAGAATGACATTAATGTCTACCATGAAAAGAAATTATTCAAAAACTATTTAATTACAGTTGTTGTAAGTGGGCGAATGTCAGATGCGAAACTGAATAATAAATTGCACGATGTATTGAATACGTGAACAAAAAACTTTTTGAAACTTAACGTAGCTTTTCGTTGTTTAACTACAATAGATTTCGAATATCATGATGATCTCCCTTCCTGTTGAACAGAATCAATTGACTTGTGTCTTGTAGTAATTGTGTCTTCTCGTTCTGTTGTAATAGTATAGTTAACTAAAACGCATATTCATTACTTGACGGAAAATGTTTTACGTCGACATTAATGTCATTCTTATAACCAAACACTCATTTTGGAGTAGAGAATACTATTTTAAAAAAACATATAGTGAATCATAAGCATCAAGGGCTCAAATAGTTAATCTTTTCTTCACTCTTTCTTGATAGAAAAGTAAAGAACCTGTCAGTTTATATAATTACACTCTTTTTGAAAAGTAGATTATAACCTTATTTTAATTATTATATGTAAAGACGATAATAGTTTCTTATAAGCTGATACACAATTGTATATTCATAGTAGCTATACAAAAAAGTTTTGCCTATAATTTTTTCCTGAAGCAGCCTCAGCAAGTAATCTTTTCAGATCTCATATCTCAGTACTTGACTTAACAAATCTATACATTTTTTATGAGGAAACCCGAGGACACAATCAGGAACGTTTCCTTGTAAGCATTATTATGTCTTTTAGGATAATCAGGCGAAAAAACTTTTGTAGTACCCTATGTAAATGTGGGTGTGGGTGTGGGTGTGGGTGTATGTATTGTCTTCACGTGCAGTATATTCACACCCACACCCTGAAAGTATCATGACGGCTGGCCACGCCCATATATATAGTCCTGGAATGAATCATACATCATATATTGAATAAACGATTAGCGATGCACCAATTCTAAGTCAAGAATTCGAATTGGAATTAGTGCATCCCTAAAAATATAGTTAATTTGAGATAATAGAAGACATGGTTTTCATTCTTTATACAATAAGCATAGATCATTATGATAATCACAGAAATATGAATATAAATAGATTTTAGAATTTAATAGTTTCATTTTCACAAGTTTCAGCAAATAATATTCTGATAGTTTTATTAAATTATCATAGAAGAGTTGAATAAATAGAAGCAAAGAATGCTTATCATGCATGAGACGTGTATAAGATTCGGACGTCGATCTAAACCCATATTTTTATACGACTCAAAACAATCGAAAAGTTGATTCGTTAATTTCATTATTGTCTCTCCAACTAATCTCGCTTGACTGCCTCCTCTGGCAACATCCCCATTTGTTAATATAATCACACCTAAATTTCTTTTCTCATTTGCCATCATTAAAGTTGTTATACCAGGTGCAGATCCTTGATGTCCAACCAAACATCGTCCACTATAATTTTTGTAATTCCATATTAGACCAAATTTAGTATCAGATATGTTTGTATAACTTTCTTATGGAAAAACATAAAGCATTTCTTCCATAGATGATGAATTATGTAAAGAATTGAAAAATTATTAAGAAATGATTGAAAAAAGATGCCAAGTGAATGAGCTGACATGCGTAAAAAACCAGATGGATATCTACTTGGACCATAAAAAGGAATGTACAACCAATCTGAGAAGTTTCCTGCCTAATAAAAACAAAAATCTGATATCGGCATGGCCGCGCATCGGTCACCCTGGCATGAGGAAGATTTATCCGTACTAAAAATAAAGAAAACTCTCTCCAAATCCAAGAATTCACTATTGGCGGATAATGAAACACGTTACAACCTCAGAGATACATTGTTGATTAGTTACATAAACCGTATTTTTCCTCCGATAAGTGTCTGAAAAGGGATTTTTGGACGAATTTCATCAAAAAATAAACCGTTTTAAGTTCCGTTACATTTCATTTTTTGTCCAAAAAACAGCTAGAATTTTAATGTTATTCTGCTTTGAAGGTGGAACCGACATACTTGCACGATAGAACTATCCCTGTACTATTCACGCATACAAAAAATGATGGGTTTTCACAGTGACAATTAGAAGCTTTAAAGTCCTTAACTGTCCCCATTAGAAAGTCAAAAAATAATGAAATTCCGTAACGAAGTGAAATTCCGTAACGGACAGTATTTACAGTTTTTTTTTCTGATACAGTTATGCTTTCTAGGGAATGAATTGATATTTTGAAAGCTCATGGAAAACTGAATAATTTGTGTATAAAGCATTTATTTGTATGTCGTTTCGTTACGTAGAAAAATGGTCAACTTTCGGATCACCCTAAAAAAAGTTTCCATTTTTTGAAATTCCGTAACGGTCAATATTTGTTCAATAACTCGGCTATGACTCGCCATAAATGGATGAAATTTTTACTAGTAATACATTTCAGCCATCTCTATCTATGACAAAAATTTTAGCCAGTTTGCCTCTATTATTGAGAAGCTACAGGTGTCGCAATATGAAAAAATGAAATTCCGTAACGCGCGGCCACGCCGATATAGACTTGATCAAATAATCCACAGAAACATCTTTATTTGCTTTTTTTTTTATGTTGCAAGAAACTTTACTCGAGAAGCATTCAACTGTTGTGCCAGCTTTTCGTAGACTTCCAGCCATGATGCATTGAATATATAATGATCAACAAGATTCTTTTTATTGTCTTGAAAATTACTTAATCGATAACCTCCTTTTTTCTCATCAATATCTAATGGTTTTAATATTTTATCTTGAACATAATGTTCGAATGATGCTCCGGCCACACGTTCAACAATGAATGCAGCTAAGCATGCACCCATATTTGAATAAAATGTTTTATTTCCAGGTGGTATAGGTAACCAACTTTTTTCATTACTTAAGTATTTCTGAATAACATTGCCAAGATTGGTTTGTGTAAAACTATCACCAGGAAGATAATGCGTAAGTTCTTCTTCAAAATTCGTTCCAATACCAGATGTGTGTGTAAGTAAATGTCGAGTGGTGATTGAAATATTAGGATATTGTGGATGAAAAATTTTCATAAGAGATGGCAAGTATTCATTGATATCTGTGTCAAGATTAAGACGATTTAATTCGACCATTTGCATAGCTGCTACAACAATGAATGTTTTTGAGATGGAGCCCAAAACGAAAATTGAGGTTAAAGGATCTATTGGTTGACGTGGTTCTGAAATAGGTGGAGAATGATAACCAATACCTTCTTCATAAATAACTTCATTTGATTTGACGACCATTATTGCAGCGCCAGGAATATAAGCATCATCAAGAAAGGGTTGGATCGATGGTTTTGTTGGAGGATATTTAAACTGATGATCTTCTGCTTTTATTAAAGTAATGATGATGAAAAGCCAAAATATCTGCATGTTGTTTTGATTCCTTTTCGTTAAATACTATTTAAATCTCCATAGTATGTGTATATGAATAACATATAGAATTAGTCATACAATAGATATAAAATGATCTTATCTGTGCCCTTGACTTGACTCGTTTTTTTTTTCTTCTCATACAAAAAAAATGTTGACGGCTAAGTTATATAAAATGTATCAACATATTTTTATTTAAAATAATGCTTTATTTTATTAAATATTTCTTTTGGTTTTGATATTCTAGTACTATCAAATATATATATTAATCGAGTATGTCAAAATAACGTCTTAGTCAGCCTTAATGTACAATTATGCATCGTATTTTCAAGTCTATATTGATTTAAAGTTATTTAACAAGTATTAATTTATAAAGATAACATAATTCAACATCAATATCAAATACGATGACGCACATTTTACTTGTTGATAAGGTTTAACTGGATTACAGGGTCTATTGCCGGTGTAAATATTTATCTACAAATACAAGTTTAGTTTTGCAGCTTGAATGATTATTATTTTTCCTTGAACGGAAGTTATATGATTAAGTTGATATAGTTTCGTTTCAGATAGTTTTTCGTTTAAGTTATATAAAGAGAAAAATAAGTATCTGTAAAAAGAAAATTTTCATGAGTGTTGTGTTTAGATTTATTGCTATTTATGAATTTTAATAAGGCAAATATTTTTATTTTATGCAATCAAGTAGATATATTTAGAATTTTTTAGGGTGTGGGTGTGAATAATCGTTCTAGTCTACACCTACACGCCACACCCAATATAACTTGATACGTATAGACACGTTCAACAAACTAAGCACATCTAAACTCGTTTATTTTAGACACAGATTACGATGTATTCATGTTTAACGACGAGTTTAAATGCGTTTGGTTTGTTCCCAAAACATTTAAAAATTAATCATCATTCTCCATCAAGATCGAATCGACATACCATGGCAAGCCGTGATATAACACTCAAATACTACGAGCAACATAGTGAGAATTTTTCCAGCGAGAACTTGAACATAGATTTGAACCCATCACTAACCAATTGCAAACCAGACACAACTAACTCTAAGTCATATACAGCTTGAAATTGATTCTATGTTTTTGAGTGGCATGAATAATTCGTTGAACTTAAATTGTTATCAATGTCGATATTGGAATGTTAAGTTATCTTCGTAAGAAGTATATAAATAAAAATAAATGTATTCTTTACATTTATGAAATAAAGAGAAATAAAATCTTTATTCTCATTAAACAAATATTAATAAATTTTTATTTTCGAAAAGTAAAGAAAATCTTTTTCTGTAATTAGTAATTAGACTATTAGGTTTTCACTAAAAAAGGTCTCTCTTTATTATTTAATTTATTTTTAATTTTTAACAAGAAAAAATCCGTTGATCTCGATCTTAAAAACACAAACAACAAATTTATGTACTTTTATTTGTTAAATAATAAAGATTCTTTTACTTAATTGTTTTTTATTTTATAATTATAAAAATATTATTTATATCAATTCTTTATTATAAATAACAATTAAAATAAACTAACTTTTCGATTGGAAAAAAAGCAATTTTTCTGAAGCTCGAAATAAAATGAAGTAACTAATGACATCAAATAGTTAAAAGTATGAACAAGATGTTCATAGAATTTATCTATTTATATAGAAAAGAAACGATGAAAGTTATAAGTAACAATTTCAGATCGATAATAATCTATCATGTTCGCATTGGTAAATATTCCAGAAGTGCAAGGGAAACAAAACATACAGTTTTATCAACAGTTCAATATTTTCAACAAAAAATGTAAAAATAACGATTGAATATGACAAATATTGATTTTATATAATTAATCTGTCAAATCAAACTAAACTAGTGTAGATATTTTTCGGTATGGACGCATCTAGAACGCAAGAAGCAAACGTTGTTAGACGTATATCAGATGAAGCTCTACTACGTCCAAACGGATTCCTTATTGAAGTAAGTCCAGACGCGTGAATTTTGCTTTTCATGTTTACATGGCCACTTGACTAAATTTCAATGATATCAATGAATACTGTCTACTAAAATTAAACAAAAAAAAATCTGGTCGAATTATTTTGAACTTAATAATAATAGTTGGCTATTTTTATAAGATTCCCTAATCGATCTTTCACCTAAATCTAGATTGATTTGTGTACTTCTGAATTGGTATACATTGAAGTAATCAAATAGGGGGTAACTACTATAAATTAAAAACTTTAAAAAAAAAACAATCGAAATCAAAATTGTTTAGATATGTGACGAAAAATCGTTCAATACAAAGATTCATAGGCTTACTCATCTGAATGAAAAATAATTTTTCCGGCTTCAAACTATACACAATGAAATAACGTGACATTAACCTATTCTCAAGCTTTAGTAGCATTGCAATGAACATGTGTATCTTTGAGCTCATGTTCATATTTTCGTTGAGATGTACTCATCAGAAAATATGAAAACATAGAGATGTACGTCAACGTGTGTGTATGCGTTTATTTCTACAAATACTCACAAACTATTCCTGTTCTCTAAACACGTTCAAACAAAATGGTGATAAATACGTCTAACTGCGTTTCCACTATGCTTCAATACGGAAACTCGTTCGAGTGCCGGCATTTGCAACAAAAACACATCTAGCTGTGTTGAAAATGCGTTTGCTGATTACATGGGTCATCAACAATAAACATCAATTAACCAAGTCAAAGTTGGTATCTAGATGTCAATAGCAACAAAACATATACAATATGAATGTCGATTGATGTCATAAATTTAATTTTTTTGTCGTATAAATTTATTTTCTTCTTGTTTGTTACGTTTCTGCTATTGCTGATTCGTTGTTTTCTTTAATCTGACTGTTCAAACAAAAAAAAACAGTGAATTCATTTGAAAGAGAGACAATATAGGCACCTTATCTTCCTGCGAAGGTATTTGATGAACTAATCAAAACTCGAGCGAAATACAAATACTACGAAATAAATTGC